TTTTGAATTTAAGTGTTTTTTCACAATTTTCAAAACTTTTGGGTGTTTTCTGCAAAATTCAAAACTTTCAGTGTTTTGTGTGATTTTTAGATTTTCTACAGTTTATAAGTACTGATATTTTAAGGGTGGACACTGAAAATTTTGAAATTAAGGGTATCCTTTGCAGTTTCAAAACTTTCAAGGTGATTTCTATAGAAAACGCTCTTAAAGACTTAAAATCCAAAATTTTCAACAACCACCGTAAAAGTATCAAAACTTACAAATAGTAAAATGTTTGTGATCAATACATAACACCTGAAAATGTCAAAAATGTAAAAAGTAGTATGGAAATTTCAAAAAATAGAATGAATATCCTAAAAATAAAAATTCCTCACAAAACATCTTTAGAAAAAAAAAATCAAAACTTACAAACAGCGTAGAATTTGTATATTACACATAGCAGCCTAAAAGTTTGCTTAAAGCCCCAAAAAGCTTGCAAAATGCACCATAAAAGTTACAAAAAATGCCTCAAAAGTTTGTAAAACCCCCAAAAATTTGCAAAGTGCCCTCCAAAAGTTTGCAAACAAGCACTAAAAGTTGCAATAGCCCCCAAAAATTTGCAAAAAGCCCCCCAAAAGCTTACAAAGAGCCTTTGAAATTTTTCAAAGAGCCCCTTAAAGTTTGCTAAAAGACCTTTAAAAGTTTATGTATACAGCATTATTATAGTTAAATGGGCAAATGAACGGCCCACTTATTAAATATGCGAGCAAAAACCCACCCATTTGGCAATTGCTAAATGGTCAAATGCGTAAAATCAGCCTGCCTATTTATGACCCGGTCGTTTGTAACCTTTGCCCACCCATTTAACATCCCTGAAGTAAAATGTTTTTACGTCTTCTTTCCACTTTTAGCAAAGACTTTAAGGAGAAGTACAATGTTTTATGTCTTCCTTCCACTTTCAGCACTCAACTAAGTTCTATAGTTTTACACATTTCAGATACCTTATTTTTAAATGACTTAAAACTTTGGGAGCCTAACGTTAAAATATTAAGACTTGGCTATCTAAACAAATTTAAGCTACTTGGGATCTTGTATTAAAAAGGAAAATATAAAAGAACTTTTCAACTTTGGCTATTTTAGCAGATTATCAATTAATATCATAAGATTTGAAAATATACGAGTTTTTTAGGGTAAGCTTCTCAAATATAAAGAGTGGTTTGTCGTCAGATTTTAAATATAACATAAAATATGTTACTGGACAACATGCACGAACCATTTCTTATCCTATGTGTTGTGCGCAACGACCAAACCGATGTGGTGCCAAGAACAAATACCATTGCCGAAAGAGAAAGCCAAACAATCCAAAATAACAACACAAACACAAACAAACCAATTTTACGTGATTCGGCAAATTGCCTACATCCACAAGGCAAGAAGGAGATGTGTTTTTACTACTAGAGAAAGAGAGTACAAACTAAGATTACAAATCACTCAAAACAAACCAACTAATCTCACCAACAAAGCTCTCAATCTCTCAAATAATAACTCTAACCAATAGCTCAGAAAGATCTATCTTTTCCGTGCTCCAATAACCCCAAAACAATCCCCCCTTGACTGCTCCAACGAAACCCTAAAAACATGGTTGCTCTTTATATCAAATAACTGTTGGTTGGAAAATTTCGTAGTAAAAAAAATGAAAGAAAAATTTGATTTGTATTCCTTTGACCTCAATTACAATTGGATTCCGATTACAAAAGAGAAGAGAATTAATCTGGATTCTCCCATTTATTTAAAACTGGGTTCTTATCGGTAGCGATGGAGTTCCTCCTTCGAATGCTTGCGTCGAATTTGCTCTCCGTTGATGATCTGAACGTCTTGATTTACTGGAGCGTAGTTTTCTCCTCACGATTTGACGTTGTGGAGAATTTGCAAAACAAGTTTTAGAACTCTGGACGAGTTGATAACTCTGGACGAGTTTGAAACTCTATGAAAGAGTTGATTTAACCGAAATTGGTTTATAGCCAAGGATGAAAGCTCTCTATTGTCAAACGTTGCTGAAGGATGAACGTCGATCTCCCCCTCGCTGCCAAGCCGAAGATCTCCTCTTCGCTGCCAAGTCCAAGATCCAAAAACCCAGCCGGAAGGAAGCCAAGAAGTTCCCACCCTTAACTCAGTTGAGCTTTCTCATTTTTATAGAGGATTAAGGGGGTGTAACCGCCCCTTAAATCACTCCTAAGTGGGGTGTAACCACCCCCAAATCGTAAAAAACGGTTTTAGAACCGTTCAGCTCATGTTGAATGAGTCAAACAACGCCGAAGTTGGCGTTCAGGACCCTAACTCCGCGTTTTAGGCTGGAGACACGGAGTTGGGCACCCGCTGGATGTCGAAAAACACGAGGGCCACCCGCGTTTGGTTTGCTGAGGATTGGAAACGCGGGGGTCGCCTGCGTTTTGCTTGTTGAAGCTTGGAAACGCGGGGGTCGCCTGCGTTTCAGGAATTAAAACGCGGGGGTTGCCTGCGTTTCAAGAATTGGAACACGGAGATGACTTCCGCGTTTAGAAGGGGCTAGTTGACTTGTAGCCTCTTCTGTAGAGTGTTGTAAAGACCATTGTTGAATGATCTTCGCCTTGGTTGCTCGAAAATATGAGAGTTGTCAGATTGTAACTCCCGATGTTGATTGTGAAGGCTGTTGAACTAGATATTTCATCGGTTGTTGTGAAGATCGTCAGATTATAACCTTCATCGATCTACGTGAAAGTCTTCGAATTATAGCCTTCTGGAAGTCGTCAGATTGTAACCTCTATCATCGGTGTTTGATGGGGGATCAGCTATCTATTTTGATTTTTAGACAGCCTACAATAACAATTAGGAAACCACAATCAGGTGCAAACCCGACTGGCGGTCGACGGCCGAAATCGTCGCGGTCGACCGGATATAACGACATAAATAAAAAAATGCATTACAGGGTCCGTAGTCGTTCGCATTTGACGCCGCGGTCGACCAGCTAGAAAATTCGAAAAACACCCTGTAGTCGTGCACGTTTGCGGTCGACCGCGCCAAAACTCGCGGTCGACCAGCAAGCACCCGAATATCTGTCTGCATTAAATTTCCTGATCTTCTCCAATGTTATGGCCGTTTCTACACTATGATGTTCTGTTCAGTTTAGATTTAGATTCTGCGGAGCAACACATAATGCAAGCATGTTTATTTGTGGCTTTGAATTTAATTGCAAAAAGGCCTGTTTGTTATTTCAAACAAATGGAGTCCTGTCAAGCCTGACTTGGCCCCGTGCTAGCACACGTTTTTTGAATAGTGACACCTATAAGATAAAAAGTATACTTATTTTGTACTACAAAAATAAAAAAAATATGAGGTCCATGACCACTCATAAATTTTGGTAATATACATTCAGAGGAAAGAGCCTTAAACTTTTGTTTTTTATAGTCTGGAAGCAACACAGAGTTTGCAGAATAGTTAACGCTATCCATGTTTTTTATGTTTGTTTAAGGACAAAGCTAGACCACTTATATATTTGGGGACAAATTTTCAAAACCAACCCTTTTAGTATTTTATTTGCAAAAAACGACCTATTTTGAAAATAATTACAAAAACCGACCTGTTTTCAGCCCACCGCTGAAAACAGGTCGGTTTTTGTAAAAAAGTCTCCGAAACATCACGGGAGTTCAACTCCCGTGAAGTTTATCGAGAAATTAAACTTCACGGGAGTTGAACTCCCGTGAAGCTTAATTTTGCTTAAAACTCCACGGGAGTTCAACTCCCGTGGAGTTACAGTCAAACATTCCCAGAGAACCGATCTCGGAGACTTTTTTACAAAAACCGACCTGTTTTCAGCGCTGGGCTGAAAACAGGTCGGTTTTTGTAATTATTTTCAAAATAGGTCGTTTTTTGCAAATAAAATGCTAAAAGGGTTGGTTTTGAAAATTTGTCCATATATTTGGACGATTACAAATCTACAGGAGTTGTACGGCCCAGATCGGCGGAAAAGACTATAAAATAATTTTCCCCTAAACTTGAAAATGGTTTTAACTTTTCTTGAAAATGTTTTTGCCCCTTCAAGAATGAACTGAACAAAAAAATGTTGGTAGAAGGATTTAGTGCGAAATTGGTGTCAAAGTAGGAAAAATGAAACAGATGTTACCGAAATTTTAATGATCAAATTGGCCAAATTTCAATTTGGAATTGCATGTTAAACAAATCTAATACCGATACCCTGCTTTGTACTTTGAAAGAGTTGCTGGAGGGGTTGATTCCTTCAAATTTTATTGCCCTCCTTTGTTCTTTGAAAGAGTTGTTGGAGGGGTTGATTCCTTCAAAATTTAAGGGAGTTTTAGCACAGGGTAGTAAATAACTGATTTTCTTTCTAAATCCACATTAACAAGAAGCAAATGAATCATATATAACCTATTCAATTTTTTTCAAAAAAAATCTAGAACAAGCATTGTTCTTTTACCTTGATTTTTTGTTGTCTGAGAATCCTTCCTAACTTCCAAACTCAAACTAATAGCACCATTATGAATTTTAGGGTGGAATTATTTGCATCTTAAATAGCCATTGCCGCTACAATTGCAAGAGACCAAGTAATATTTATCATGGATTCGAGACCTCCTCACCTCTTGCATGGGTGGCATCTTTCATCCATACATCTGTATATATACATTAAGTTTTTTTTCCTCAATAATACAGCAAAAGCAACCAAATGTTTAAGATTGAAACATTTCCATATTATTGAAGCAACATGATTTCATCCACTTTAGTTTTGGACATGGGGATTGTGGTGACTCGTGTGATTTAGCAATTGCGATGATATGTACGCATTTTAATTTGACAACACATGAATTCTCGGCACTGATAAAGTTTTGAGGATAGAAGTTTCTTCAAGTTAATTGTTAAAATTTATCCAATGTCTGAAATTTATCGAGTATAGATTAGCCTTTCTGAAGCTGATAGGTCCTTGAAGCTGCTCGAAGATTTTCTAACATTTCCGACTACAATCCTACCAGGCAGTAGGAATAAGGACTAGCCTACCGCTTCCATCAGCGTGGGAAGTTTTGTCACAGCTAGCTGTATATTTCTTGGTTGAGGACTACTTCAACTACTGGATCCATCGGATGCTTCATTGTAAATGGGGATACGATTTGATTCACCATGTCCACCATGAGTTCACCGCTCCTATTGGGTTTGCTGCACCTTATGCTCACTGGGCCGAAGTCCTCATCCTCGGCATACCAGCATTTCTTGGTCCTGCCATTGCCCCAGGCCACATCGTCACATTCTGGCTTTGGATGGTCATCCGACATGTTGAGGCAATTGAGACACATTGCGGGTATGAATTAAAAAAAAAATCTTATTTATTCTTTATGACTGTATTCAGTTTAAATTATAAGATATATTTACTAGCATGCACACCTGGTAATGTTCTTTGCTCAGTTCGAGGCCATATATTTCACTTGCGTGCATGATATAGGATAGTGATGTGGACTTATTTTAGGTAAAATACTAATTTGCCTAGAGAGTTTAGTTAACAGTGGACTTTCAATTTTTGGTTCAAAAAAACTCGCTTTTCTACGGAGAGGGAAAATGTTGAAATCTTAAAGGCACAAATTGTTTTTTGATGAACAGCGTGGCTAAATATCCCCATTTTCTTAGTAATAATTAAATGAAATAACAGAAAAGCTTATAAGTATCACACGAGCAAACGTTAGTATTATCCTTTTCTTGTGCGTATTTTGACATTATCTTTCTCGCGCGTATAATCTTTCTTGTGAATAATCTAAATTTAAGTTCCTTGTGATTCTTAATAGAAGCAGAAGTATAGGAAATAAGTTTTAGTTTTTTGTGATCTTGATAAGGCCTTGACAGGACTATAACTATGAAAAGCTGAACTCTGATTGTGCTAGGAACTTTACCCACACAGGATATTATGTTATCATATATACACATTATCTTGATTTTTTAGAACAATTATTGTTGTCTTTGGCCAGGAAAACTCATAATCCGTATACCCCCAAAATCAAATATGGATATTGATCAGTAAGAGAAAATATATACTGATACAAAATGAATATGAGGAACACATATATGATTGTAGCCCATGTTATTAAAAGATGTTTAAATATAATAAATTTCTCAAAATAGCTTTCCATCGATATTTTTGACATATCTGAAAAATCTAAGATTAGACTTTGGATCATCAAGGTTGACAACAAATCCATTAATCCCACGGTTAAAAAAGTTTCAATTATCTTATCAACGCGTATCTTTTATGCTGATACTTAGCCGATCATATTTACTTAGATATCTGTATCCTACCATATATATACATAGATATAGTATCCATATCCGTTTCCTGACGGATTCAGATATGTCTGTGGACAGTCGTATCTGCTTGCTTCCCTCTTATAGACGATCATAAATAAAATCATTACAGAGGTTTACATGCATAGGGTGCAAGCCGAGGTGAAATTATAGATGATGCAATGCAAACCTTATCATTAACCACTCAATTTTTTTTTAAAGGAGTAGACCTCCTTATAAGCTCGTGTTCAGGAGATCAGATATACATAGGCATTGAATGTCACTCATAAGAAGCTGCAAAAGGTTGCCACTTCTTGCAGGGACATTTTCTCAAACAGTCTCAATTAAGTTTGCACCAATTTAGGTGGAGTAACCAATGTTGATAAGTATATTAGCAATAATTAATGCTATATGGGGTTTCTTTTATTTTCTTCTGATATTTTGTTATTGAACAGATATGACTTCCCCCAAACTCCTACAAAATTCATTCCGTTTTATGGAGGTGCAGAGTACCATGACTACCATCACTATGTAGGAGGACAAAGCCAGAGTAACTTCGCTTCAGTCTTCACCTATTGTGATTACATATACGGCACCGATAAGGTTTGATGATTTATTGAAAGTTTGCTAATGCTACGGTCTGTGTGGGAGTATATAGACTAACATCTCTAACCGGTCATTTGCAGGGTTTTCGATATCAGAAAGAACATCTCGCCAAGGTAATTCTACCGCCTCTATTCCTTGTAACGTTAAATCCAAGATGTCGGCTGATTTGAACAAATAAACAAAATTAGAATTTAAGTAGTTTATACTCGGTTCATATCACCTCGTTTGCTATATTATGGTTTAGCATTATGGAAATTATGTAAGAGATATTTCACTTTTAGAGTATCTGCTTTCCATTATGAATTACCATGCCAGAACATTGTACGATAACAACAATAATACATTTATCTCAAAATTTTGCAGGTAGCTATATGAATCCTATTCTTTCACTATGTTCCAATTTAGGATATCTTCTCTGATAAGTTAATGATTATTACCCCATTAACTATAGTTTTATCCATTTTTCTAATCGGTGCGCTAAAAAGTCTCCTTGTACATAACCAAACCACCTTAGTCGATTGTCTCTCATTTTATCCTCAACAGGAGAAACCTCTAATTTACTACAAATGCACTCATTTCTTATATATCTTTTAGTATGTATACCCAGAGGACCATCATAAAATCCTCAATTCCGCTACACTCATTTTTTGCACATATTATTTTTAATTGCCCAACATGTTGATTCATAAAGCATTATTGGTTTTCTGACTGTTCTATAGAATTTTTTCTTTAGTTGTGTATTCTATGATCACATAAAACCCGAAGCATTTCTCTATTTTAACCATCTTGATTTAATTCGATGAGCAACATCATCCTTAGTCTCACCATCACAACGAATGATTGATTCTAAATAATGAAAATGAATACTTTTAGGTATTTCTTGATATTAATATGTATGCTATAGGCTTTTTGCTCTTTTTTTTAAATTTTATTGAAAATGCATTCCATGCGTTCTATTTTTGTTTTACTAATTCTACAACCTTTAGGGTGAGTTTGGATATTTTTCTTGAAGAGAGGAGGGGAGAAATTGGAAAGGTCACAGTGCTAACTATCCTAAAATTATATTTATTTATATTTTTTAGCATGTGAAGAGAATGGTCAGGAGGGATAAAAAGAAGCAAATTTCCTCACTTCCTATTCTCTAATCTAAACAAACACAAATTATAGGGCACCCCTCCTTTCCCCAAGTTGTCTGTCCAACACAATTAGTTTATCACATCCCCTCCCTTTCCACTCCTTCCCTTTGGGATTACTATAATCATTCCCCTGCCCTCTCCTCTTTTGTTCGAGAGCATCGTAACACCCAAAATTTTCTTGTAGAAATGTAAATAAAGATAATGCATTTTTTTTTCTTGTTTTCTTCCCTTTTGCTTTAAGAGTCTAACATGGACATAGTGTAGTAAGACAATCCTCAGAAGCAACAGTTGCTAATTTCCTTTTTCTTGGAGCAAAAGAGATGAATATTTAACGCGTGTAGGCCATTTTCTTCATTTCATAGAGCCATTTATTTTCTTTATTTCCTCTGAAACCATTTATATGCCATCTTGCACAGCTGAGGGAACAATGGAAATCTTGCGAATTAAATGGTGAGACCAACGGCAGGTTGGACAAGTATGAATAAGGCAATCCCATTTGCGGTGGAGTCCTGCGCAATACAAGCTCAATCTCTTATGATCCTACTCCATCCTTGTAGAAAGCATAATCTAGGCTTGTATAATGTTATTCAGAACATCTGTACCCTTTCAGCGTAAAGCTCTAATAGGCAGCCTTAATGTTAATGGGTTACTTATTATTTACTTAATTGTTTGTTATCTTATGGTTCTATTTTTTTGTTAATATTCTTAAGGATGGACGGATGTTGTGCTTTTTGATAGAACTTGTTTATATTTGTAGGGAGCGCGAGACGCCCACACTGCTGCGGAAGCTAAATTAATTCTGAGAGAAAAACAATCCTAGCTCGAGTTTAAGCCAAACTCAAACTAACCAATACAACCAATAACGAATACACATATAAAACAAAAGTAAAGTAGACGAGACAACAGATATACGTGGTTCGGCAAACTTGCCTACGTCCACGGGAGCCACACAAATAATTTCTTATTTAACCACAAGAGATTACAAAGCTTGAAATAGAGAAGATCTCAAACTTGAGATCTCTCAAAATACCGCGCGTGATTTTAATCTAAAATCACCGCTCAATTTCACTTCTCAAATCCCACTTTCAGACTTCTCAATAAATCCTTGAGAAGAGTCGCCGCTACAAAGAAAAATTCTTCTCTGTAAAAAATCACGAGATGAGGGCTCACAGATCTCGTGAACAGGGTTTCCCTTTTATAGGAAAACCCTAGGGCAGATAGTGCGATCCAGCTGGATCCCACCCACGCAGGCGAAATCCCAACGCCCGCAGGCGAGTTCGCTTCTGGCGAGATCCGCTCGCACTCGAACAGGCGAGGTCCACGAAACTCCTCGTGCAGGCGACCTCGCCCTCGCCTCAGCATCTGGCTCCGCAGGCGAGCTCCACTAGCCTCCTCCGTTCCCTCGCCTCGCCTCTTAACGCAGGCGAGCTCCCACTCCTCCCGCAGGCATTCTTCTTCGAAGTCCAGGTTCATTTTCTTCAATTCTCCACCTCGTACATCACTTGATAAACCTTAAATTTTGGACGAACACCAGAAGAACACCACGAACGCCAAACATGCCAAAACTAGGTCCAACCAGCTACGCCACTGTACCGTGGCTGCCTACGTACCCTCCACCGGGATCAAGCTAACCGTAGTTCTGCTGTTGATCTTTTGGGCAGATTAACACGGGCTGATATTAAGCAAGTCTAAACAATGCTGAAACTTGCTACATGTGACCACCTTGGTTAACACGTCTGTTGGGTTCTCATTCGTGTGCACCTTCATGAGAGAAATATCAGCTTCCTCTATGACATCCTGCACAAAATGATACATGACATCGATATGCTTGGTACGAGCATGATAAACTTGATTTTTAGCCAAATGAATCGCACTCTGACTATCGCACCACAAGTTCACACTATCCTGCTCAATCCCCAAATTGTTTAACAGACCCCACAACTACAATGCTTTTTTCATTCCCTCTGCCATGGCCATGTACTTAGCCTCTCTAGTAGAAAGTTCCACTATAGCCTATAACATCGATCACCAACTAACTGGAGCATCATGTATACTGAATACATAACCAGTAGTAGACCGCCGTCTGTCTAGATCACCCGCATAATCTGAATCCACAAACCCGTTGATCTGACACGTATCTCTACCAAAACACAGACCCGTATCTGCGATACCCTTCAAGTACCTCGGAACCTATTTTATCGCTTCCCAGTGTGTTTTTCTCGGATTCGCCATGAATCTGCTGACCACACTAACCGCCTGTGAAATATCTAGACGTGTACACACCATTGCATACATTAAGCTGCCAACTGCACTAGCATAGGGAACGCGCACCATGCGCGCCTTTTCTTCCACTATAGTGGGAGATTGTTTTCTTGAAAGCCTGAAGTGTGGAGCCAATGGAGTCGCCACCGACTTTGTACTTTGCATCCCGAATCTAGCGATCACCCGCTCTATGTAGCCCTTCTGACTCAAGAATAATTACCGATTCACCCGCTCTCTTCAAATCTCCATACCCAGTATTTTCTTAGCAGCGTCCATGTCCTTCATCTTAAACTCTTTACCAAGTTGAGATTTTAACCTATCTATATTCACCTTACTTTTCGAAGCAATAAGTATGTCATCCACATACAAAAGAAGATAGATATAATCATCTCTACGAAGCTTTCGAATATAGACGCAATAGTCATACTCGCTTCTGGAGTACCCATGCTTTAGCATGAAGGAGTCAAATCGTTTATACCACTTCCGAGGAGATTGCTTCAATCCATAAAGTGATTTCCTCAAGCGACATACATGATTCTCCTTATCCTCAACATTGTAACCCTCAGGCTAATACATATAGATTTCCCCCTCTAAGTCTCTGTGCAAGAAGGCCATTTTGACATCGAGTTGTTCCAGCTCAAGATCACCATGAGCAACAATACTCAACAGCACCCGAATAGAAGTGTGTTTTACCACCGAAGAAAATATCTCATTGTAATCCACACCCTCTCTTTGTGTAAACCCCTTAGCCACTAGCCTCGACTTGTACCTTGTACTACCGAGCTCTGAAGGATCTTCCTTTTTTTTATACAGCCACTTACAACCTATAGCTTTCTTTCCTACGGGCAATGGGACCACCTCCCATGTTTGGTTCTTCCGGAGAGATTCCATCTCCTCCTCCATCGCAGCCAACCATCTCTCGCTATCTCTATCCCGAATAGCTTCTTTGAAGGAGACCGGGTCATCTTCCTCCATCGAGAGTGCGTACTCAACCAAATTAACCTGCCCATAATGGTTTAGGAGTTGATCATCCCTAGCTTCTGTACCTGCTTGTATGGTTGCCTTGGCCTAGGGGAAGCCAAGCTATCCTCGAGCTGTTGTTGTTATAGTGCCTGTGTATTGAACCTCCTCTTGCTTAAGCTTATCATCTACCTGATTTCCCACTTGAACAGGACTAGAACCTGGTTGGTCTTTGGGTTCTATATCAATAACCTAGGATTTAGAATTCCTAACAGTCTCAACACCATCATCCTTGGGCACCCTAGCAATCATGGACTTCTCGTCAAAGGTAACGTCCCTACTGATCATGAACTTTGAATCTTCTGTACACCAAAGACGATAGCCTTTTATACCATTTGCATACCCCAAGAAAATCATCTTCTTGGCCCTCGCGTCAAGCTTTCCCTCATTGACATGATAGCACACGGTACACCCGAAGATTCAAAGCCTCTCATAATCTGCATGCACCCCTGACCACACCCGATAGGGTGTACCACCATCCAATGTTGAATGTGGAGAACAATTCACTATGTAACAAGCTGTAGCAACCGCTTCTGCCCACCATTCCTTACCCAAACCAGCATATGATCGCATACTCATTGCTTTCTCCTACAGTGTTCGGTTCAGTCTTTCCGCGACCCCGTTTTGATGTGGTGTAGATCTCACTGTCCAGTGTCTGGCAATCCCCTCCTGATCACAGAACTCCTTGAAGGCACCATCTGTATACTCTGTACCATTATCAGATCTTAATGTCTTCAATTTCTTTCCTGTCATGTTCTCAACCATCGCCTTACACTTCTTGAATGTCTCAAATACCTCACTCTTGTGCTTCAGAAAATAAATCCAAGCATATCTCGAATGATCATCTATGAATGAGACAAAATATCTAGAACCACCCTTGGAAGGTGTCGAAGCCGGACCCCAAACATCTGTGTGCACGTAATCTAGTATCCCTCTGCTCTTGTGACTACTTGTCAGGAATCGGATCCTGTGTGCCTTTGCATACACACAGTCCTCGCAAAAATCCATGCAAGGCTTCTTCAGATTCTTCAACAACCATCCTTACTGAGCAGATCTAGACCCTTCTCTGACATGTATACCCAAGCCGCCTATGCCATAACCGTGTGTGATTATATGGGTCTCCACCACTTCCATCAGTTCCAACAGCTGCATCTCCCGTCACTATCGTACCCAAGAGAGAATATAGGTTGCCATGACGAATGCCTTTCATTGCTACTAAGGAACCCCGAACAATCCTCTTCACTCCGTTCTCTGTTATAATCTTATAACCCCCGGAGTCCAAAGCATCAACTGAGATAAGATTCTTCCGCAAGTCGGGAACGTGCCTCACATCCTTCAAGGTTCGAACCACTCTATCATGCATCTTGATCTTGATATCACCTAGCCCTACCATTTTACAAGCATGGTTGTTCCCCATCAATACGGTTCCACCATCAATGCTCCTGTAGGTGGTAAATCACTTCCTATTTGGACACATATGGTAAGAGCAACCAGAATCAAGTATCCACTTCCCGGAGGTATCCTCGCTACCCGTGATGACATAGCATTCCTTATCGCTCCATTCCCCTGAAGCGTAGCTCGTCTCTTTCTTACCTTCTCGTCTCTTAGTCCTGTTGTTGTTGTTCTTCCCACCTACTCTCTTATTAGGACAATTGACTTTGAAATGCCCTAGCTCACCGTATTTGAAACACAATCTTTCCGCAAGAGGTCTTGATTTTGATCTAGACTTTCCTTCCTTGACTTTTCCTCGCTCATTGCCCCTTCCTCTGGCGAAAAACCCCTGCGCTTGTTCTTTATTACCACCAGTGGCCATATCACTAGTTATAATTTTTCGAAGATCATCCGCTAGAAGCGTCGTTCTAGTCTCATCCATCGACAAACTGTCACCCACAAGCATCAGTGTTTGAACCAGATTCTCATAAGACTTCGGCAGAAATAGAAGTAGTAGAAGTGTCTGATCCTCATCTTTCACTATCACCTTAATGTCTTTCAAATCCGATAAGATCCTATCAAACTTGTTGATGTACTCCCGGATTGACGAGTCTTCCTCCATCTTGAAAGTATATAATTTGGATTTTAAATAGATCTGGTTCGTTAGACTCTTCATCATGAATGTACTTTCTAACTTCAACCACACGCCCGCAGCCGTTACCTCTCCATCTACCAAGAAAGCTACATCCCTTTCAAGACAAAGGATAATCGACGCCCGTGCTTCCAGATCCAGCTCCTCCCAATCCTCATCAGACATATCCTTGTGCTTCTTCTCTTTTCCCACCAAAGCCTTATGCAATTTCTACAAAATCAGCGAATTTTTCATCTGCATCCTCCAATAGGAAAAATCTTTCTTCCCATTGAATTTCTCGATCTCATACTTTTCAACTTTAACTGTTTTACTTGTAGACGTCATTCTTCGCTTGTTTAGTAAAATCAATTCTCTCAGTAATTTCAACAATAATCATGCACCACCTCAAATCGGAAATTTTTACCACCTCTAATCTGAACAAGGGCTCTGACACCAATTGTTAGGAGCGCGAGACGCCCACACCGCTGCGGAAGCTAAATTAATTCCGAGAGGAAAACAATCCTAGCTCGAGTTTAAGCCAAACTCAAACTAACCAATACAAGCAATAACAAATACACAGATAAAACATAAGTAAAGTAGACGAGACAACAGATATACGTGGTTCGGAAAACTTGCCTACGTCCACGGGAGCCACACAAATAATTTCTTATTTAACCACAAGAGATTACAAAGCTTGAAATAGAGAAGATCTCAAACTTAAGATCTCTCAAAATACCGCGCGTGATTTTAATCTAAAATCACCGCTCAATTTCACTTCTCAAATCCCACTTTCAGACTTCTCAATAAATCCTTGAGAAGAGCCGTCGCTACAGAGAAAAATTCTTCTCTGTAAAAAATCACGAGATGAGGGCTCACAGATCTCGTGAACAGGGTTTCCATATTATTTATATGGAAACCCTAGGGCAGATAGTGCGATCCAGCTGGATCCCACCTACGCAGGCGGAATCCCAACGCCCGCAGGCGAGTTCACTTCTAGCGAGATCCGCTCGCACTCGAACAGGCGAGGTCCACGAAACTCCTCGCGCAGGCGACCTCGCCCTCGCCTCAGCATCTGGCTCCG